ACAGATTACTCTAATATCGGTATGTTGGATGCTATACTGAAAAGGAGTCGATCAATGCTGGTAAGCTGTATTAGAAAAGAACAAAAATCTTCACTGCGAAGTTTAACTTGGTTCCTGATTCAGGTTATGGTCACATGAATGTGATATACCACTATTTCTTTCTTGATCATGCTACATATGTCAATTAGGGCATCAATACTCAATCAAGGATTAATTTCTGTTCAGTGTTAGGTATAAAATGCCTGAATAACTCTGTTTTGCTTAAATGTCAATAAAAAAAAAAAATCTGTTAACGAGACAAACAGCAAAGTCAACTATGTGTATAGGACAAAGTTGACTTGAACTTATAGTCACTTCACACACAAATGTCCTCCAGATGACTGTTTCAATTATATTTAGAAATAAAAACAAAACGTGTGTTTGTTTAGATTCATCAATTTTTACTGTCATACATACAAACAATGCAAAACCAGATTCGTGAAATATTGAGAGAAAAAAGTATTTTATGATGTTTGGTTAATTTACTTTTGAGCTAATTAATAACCAGGTCTGTGATGTATTACTGCACGGCGTTAACGCGTAGAAAGTACGCAGGTAGGATATCTCCACTGACACAATTGTCTTTGTTTACTTGTTATGTACGCAGTGTTTTGTACTCCAGGTACGCTTTAATGAAATATTCAGAGGTAATTAACTTCAGTCACCTCAAACATTGATATTGATTTCAAGTGTATTTCAAATGTAACATTTCCTTCCCACAATATTTTGTGGGGTAAATGTGTGTCATGTAACTTTATGTACTGTAAACTCGGTTTATTTATTTGTATCTATTTACCTGAGTAACAAAGTATTGATGTTTGCGTTAGTCGTGTTTGACAAAACAGGACCCTGATGGCGTCAACATATTGTGGGAATATTTCATAACATGTATACAAGAATTGTCACTGAAAGACATAGCTAGCTAGCTCCGATTGTCATTGGTTTAGGACTATTATTGAGACAATGTGACTAGGTAGAATATCTTGATATACTGTGATGTTGAGGTTATTAAATTTCAGCTGAATGTTGATGTACAATACCAAGGAATGTTAAAACTTCACCTACCAAAATGGCAAGTGAGCTTATGCCACTGCATGTCCATCGCCATAATTGAAAAGACTACTTATCCAGAATGACTAAAAACATTTTGACAAAATTGAGTATGAAGTGTCTCTGGGACAGCAGTGTTGTATAATTATAAATGTAGGGTGTGGTCCCCTTGAAATAGAGGATAGATTGCCTGCCCAATATGTAAAATAGGGGTATCTTTAAAAGATCATTTCTTCAATAAATTGGTTTTAAACAGGGATCCCTGGGCCAAGTGGACACAAGATTTGAATTGTATAAATGAAAAGTTTAGATCCCTTGGGGGGGGGGAAGGGGAACAAATAGTTCTCCGTGAGAAAACAGTAATTCTTTAGAGATGTTCATTACAAAACTGTTTGCCATTTGCAGCCTGTATCTGTTTCATTCTTTTCATATACATGTCCTTTATATCATTTAAATAAGTAAGGAAAAGATAAGCTACTTTGGCCTCTTGCTAAAGTAGTTCACCATCTGTGATGTGAAAATTTTGATTTTCCTACCCTCCTTTCTTAAATTTCAAATACTGGCAGCTACAGGACAAGTTTTATAGTACATTTTTCAACATGTAGTTTTCGAGTTATCGAATGAGCACAGATATTTTTTTCATAAAGATTTCTTCTATAAATAAAAAGAATTCACATAATGTAGTCTACTGAGTTCTTGACTACGGCGATTTTTTACCATTTCACTGTTCCATCTTTGCGCCCCGAAAGGACGAGAATCAATCAAACTTAATGCTTGTTTCTGCATCTTTTTGGTGCGAAAAAAGACAAACAAGCAAAAACACGGAATAATGAAATGGCACAAAGCGGCCACCATACTTGACTGCATGTTCTTAGCATGTCTCCTTCCTTTACAGAAATGGAACACATTTGAAAGATACACAAAATGCCTGCATAACAGATAATGCTACTTAGTTTAAACTATGGGAAGGGAGATAACTCTACCTCAATTCACAGGTTTTTGTCAATGTAAGGTTTAGTATAACCTTAAAGCTTAAGATTATGATTATTTTTGTACAAACCTCGTCTTGTAAGATTTTGTCTGAAAAATCTGAATTCAACAATTATTTCTCTCCATACATTCACATGGGGGGGGGGGGGGGGGGGGGGTTGTTGTTGTTGTTGTCACTGTTCTGAAAGTTGATTATTTGTCCAGATTGATGCTCAGATTTACTTAATTTCTTAAGAATATGTAAAAGTTTGTCTGGGTATATATTTACTTACAAAAATAATATAAAAACTGACACATGACCAACAATGGAGGATCAACCTACACTGGTGCAGAATTTTGAAGGGCATCCGTCTTGAAATAAAGGACGGATATTGTTGACAGTGTTCATAAACATTACACAGAGTGCCAGTGACCCTATAACCATGTGGATTGAAGATTCTGTCAGCCAAATTATTAACCATAACCTGTCTGATAGCTGGATTTGTCTTGCAGATAAAGTCACCTGGAGGGGCTTGTATTGTATCAACAGACATACTTGTGCGATGATGAGATTTGAGGACTTGTGTGTCTATGATATATATATACATATGCCCACGAGCAGCCTGAAGCCTAACACATCTGTATACTGGGTGTGGGAGCCCTGGGCACAGGCTCACAGAATACAAACTTAATCCAGAGGCTTCTTTCATGTGTAATCAGTGTATTTTATAATATTGATCTATATCAAATCCTAGAACATGTGTACCTGATGTCCGCCGATATAAAGATCTGTTCCTACCATACAAACAATTAACTGTGGTGTAGTTAGTTGTTTTTGTTTTTGTTTGCAGAGTCGAGAAAAATTACTCACAAATAGGAAACTTCAAATTTCAGGATATTTCCCTCGATTATGAACTGTTAATGAACAAGTTCCTGAAATGTACTGTCTGCATGAACATTCGAAATACAAGTCGTGTTAATTTCATGGACTGATAAAGACACCCAGATGTTTTACTGGGTACCAAGTTGATGGGAAGCTTAGATTTTAGGAAAATGTCTTCAGAAACTGATAAGGAAATCTGAAATATCTTTTGCATATTTGAATACAGGTGAAAATTAGTGTAAAATGACCAATATTATGTGTATCCATAGTATCCTATAATTTTAAAGATAATGACACAGAGTTTAAATAGTAAGAAAACAGATTTAAATAGAGTCTAATTTCTTTCTCTTATGTTTGGTTATTTCAGTGCTCAAGTATCAAATTATCTGCCATACATGCACACGACTGATGGTAATCTAGCTATATATGTTCGCTTTCATACTTCAAAACACAACATCATTCAAAAGCATTATACAAAAATATATCTCCGAGATCATGTATCTGGCTTTCTTTATCTCGTATTGTAATAAAATAGAAAAATCTGTTTTCAGTAATACTTTTTCATGAGCACATTATCCAATATAAGTAGGGATAACAAGTTGTTGAATGAGGATACGGAGGTGTTAGCTGGCGTAGAACTGTTTAATGTCGACGCTTCATCATATTATGTAACCTCTGCGATATCTCTAATACAATCCTAATGAACCACAAAATTGATAAATACAAAGTTAACACCAAAACAACGCTTGTTTCCAAGTTTTTCCATGGTATGAAACAGAAGGTAACTTCTTTTGGCACATATTGAAATATTTTATATAAATCAAGAGGAAGGCCTAGCTAATTTGAATACTGTGGCATCCATCGACTGGGAATACCCGGATATTCTTTGATAAGACTTCACCAGAGTTACAGCCAGGATGTTGGTATTTAGAACAATTTATTCAGTTAGATGAACGTTTATATGAATGCAAAACAGACATGTCTGTTTTATATACAGTGTTATCTCTGACTGTGGTCAGATAAAGAGGATACGCACAACATAAACAGTTGGTAGGAGGTTTGGTTTCAAAACAACAGACAAGAATTGTACCTAATTTACCAAAAAAAAATATTAAGTACAAATAGATAAGTATGACACTTACATTAATATCTCATTCCTCGATCCTAAGAAATTGTTCTACCAGACCGAGATGATCTGTAAAACCTGCCATATTTTAGGTGAACATTTCGATTTTTCACTCATTTAAACAGTCACGTCCCCCATATCTTGCTTTCTTTCAAATTCAGTAAATAATTTAGCAGAACAGCTTTAAATTTGCCATTTTATGCTTTTATTTCATCATGATATAGGCATTGTAAGATTTTGGTGTGTGGTTTTGAAAAGTCAGCATGTTAGTTTATTAATCTCATCAGATTCTTCTTGAAAAGGACTCTTTTATTGGCATTCAGACTCTTGCAATTGTGTGATATGTGTCAAATTCTTCTTGAAAGTAGTATTTTACATCTAAAATCATCCTACATTTAATATGGTTTTGTAAGGGAGACAACAGATGCTTGCTCCATATATTCCTTGAGGTAATTAATCAATAATAAAGTTAGGGTAAATTGTAACTGATAGATACTCCTGGCCTGTTTGTTTGGATACTTGAACAGTTCCCCCAATCTGACAGGATTTAGGTGAGAATCCTGACCCCTCCAGTTTATTGGCAACCCAGGAGATAGTTTTTAATTCCACCAGATGGAGCTGCGTGACTGATGTAGATCCTGAACATACTTACATGATAGAACATGGTGTTGGAGGTAGTTCATTAAGGCTTGGTTTGTCTGACAGCCACACTTTAATTCAACACAGATCTGTTTTTAATGTACTATCTAAATCCGATACATGTATAGGAAGTGATATATATATATATATGTATATATCTTCCCAGTCTACCTATGACCTTTTGTCCAATCTGACCAATGATAACCTAGGGCTGTCAAACCTGGGAAGTTTTGATTATTCCCTTTCCATGCAGTATTTATTTATATGTCAGTCAGAAATTAGCAGCTGATTGACAAGCATAGTGCAGTAGAAGGCTGTCGGCAAGCCAGCCCTGATCAACTGTAGTACACTAGGTCTTTAGGCCAAGTGTGAAGGATTGTCATAGTGTGTATACACCTGTATACCCTCACACCTGTACCACACCACAGACGGTGGCACAGTACAGTGGCCTCGCATTACGAGCACACATGCTTGAGACAAGGGGTGCTACACAAGTACATTAACTCAAAGAAGAAAAAAGATCTTAATTATTTCTGTGATAGATAATTACTGTTTATAAACTTTATACATAGAAAGAAAGAAAAAAACGCCTGATTTCCTTTAAAATCAGAGAATGTCTTATAATCTGGACTGTATTTTAATTTGATTTACCTGTGCTGTGGATACTGGAGCTGAAGATTTGCTACAGCGTTACCTATAGTTTATGCGGAACACTAATCGTGAACATTGCCAGGTGATAATCATTGTCACTGTGACTAACCTGTACACCAACAAACTGTGAAATGGAGAAAGTGTGTATTAACAGTTGTTGTAACCCTGTTATATTTAAAATGAAGGTCAGTGGATATAGGTCTATATACAGGATGGAGAGTCTCTGTGTAACAAGTCTCGAGTGCTCATTGTGAACACTACTACCGTTTACCGAGGCAATCAACAGCCAATTTTTTTTGTGTTTCCTTCCTGCCTGCTGTTCATTATTCAAGTGTAGTTTTGCAGAGTAACTCACCGGATTTTCCTGACTTTTGATTTACTATTGAGATTACGCTGGACACTTGCAGTCCACATTATTCAAGTGGGCTGATCACACCTCCATGGAAATGACATTACTTTTTTAAAGTTTTGCATTTTGACTTTAAAATTTGACCTTTGATTTAATTGTGTTGAGTATATATTTTCTCTGCGCGTCGTTTGATCTACATTGTGACAATGAGTCTGAAGCTGGACACCCCCCACTATGCTAATGGTGATGTACCCCCATTCTACGGCCCAAACCCCCCTCCCCCTCTCCTGCATGTGTCTCGGGACCAGTTCTACCACCATCTGGCTTACTTGGAAGATGAACTGTGGCACAACAATTCTAATGCGGCATTGCCGCACAAAAAACGTAACAAACACTCGGTCTCTCCACCAACGACTGAGACACGGGAGCATGTGTCTCCACCATTGTTCCAAAAGGATGAGACGACCCACCCATCCCTTGCAAAACCCGCGGAACTGGACAGTGACAGCACCAGCACACGCAAACGGCACGAGAAACACCTGGCTCGCCAAGCCAGCTATAGTGAACTCCATCATGAAACATTTCCAAAGTCTGCTGGGATGATGAGGATCTGGGAGCGAAGTCAGTCCCAACCTAGCAGTCGGAGGACCAGTCCCCTAGGGGGCCAGGAGGGGCACACAGACTACAGGGATGTCAACTCTATGGTGACCAAACATAGATCATCCCCCTCCCCCCAGGTGAGATCTTTGTTCGTGCAGTTTGTAAATCAGAAATTCGTTATATAATCCAGAATAATCAGGAATCATTCGGGACTAACGTTTTATTTATTACATGCGTTACTAAAACTGTTAATTTTATCTTATGCATGTCTGATTCCTTAAACTCTTGTCATACTTCCGTCAGTTTTGACAGAACACCACCACCTTGTCGGAGTCTATTATGTCCCTCTAATCTCTGAACTTGCGACAGTCTCGTTTGATCTGTGTCCAACAGTGTCCTAACCAGTTTCACAAATTTTACTATGGTAGGGTCATCAGGATTCTGTTCTGGTTGGTTTAATTTGTTGACCAATATGAAAAATGAGATGCTTTTTGATGCCAATAACTGTAACCCCTTTTGTATTGATCTTTCCATCTCCTTCAGTGTGTAAACTTATTAACTCTAAAACAGCGCAAAAGTAAAGAGCAGATAGATTAGATCAGTTGATGTTCTCCATTGTTTGTTTTTTTCTATTAAAATTTACTGACAAGTCATATACGATTTGCAAAGGGGATAAAATAATAAGGGTAAATCTGATATAAAATGTTTGGTCATTTGGCTTGAATACTGTGAATGATCTGCTTGTTGCGTGACATCAAAGTATTGATTTATGAAAATTGAAAAAAAAGACTGCATACAATTTCATTTAATTTTAAAAGATATTCATTTAATGGTAGAATATTTTCGATATTGTATGCAATTTGGACAAATAGGTATTGGTATTTATGAATTTAAAATGTTCATCACATCTTTTGATTGAGTTGTGTGACTTTGATTTAACAATCTGATTTGTATTTGATGGTTATTCGTTATGCAGTTATTAATCAAAAATTTAAAACTTTAGAAAGAAATCCCTGTGTAAATGTTAGATAAATATCAAATTACTGAAGTACTTGAAATTTATTAAAATTTGTTCTGTAATCATGTGTTGACAATATTCTACAGGGTGTATTAATACTTGCCAACCGTCTGTCTCCATAGAAAACGCTATGATTAGTAGCTGTAAGTTTATATATTGAGCGGTGCTACCTGTGTCTCCCCAGTGGCATTCAGTACAGTACTGTATGGGCCTAAACGCTTGCACCCATTCACATTCTGTTGTTTAAAACACTTAATTTCAAATTGATCTTCACATCTTTTTCATGACGGATTTACCTTGAAAAAAAAATGATTATAGAAAAAAATAATGTAATTGAACAATTTATATTTCAGTAATTACCTACAGTCTTAATTAAGTACTTGTAGCGTATGATGTTACATAACGCTTGGGATTTAAATGTATTTGTATGTACATTTAAACTTTAAAGGTCAAAAGCATTTAAATTACCATATTTGGGAAATTTAAATGTTTTGAATCTGCACTATGTTAGAATCGTGTCAAAGCACAAAAGGTATTTAATCTTCTGATAGAGTAAAAATAATCTTTGAAGAAACCAACTTGAATTGAAAGAGAGAAAAAACATCAAAATATTCCATATTAATTCAACATGTCTTTTATCATTCTGTTGATCAATATTAAATACATCTAATTTTATAATGAGTATATACAATTTTGTCAGCAGTGTTACAACTCATTTGGGTCTATTACTGTCATGATGTTGTAATTTGTAAGTGAAATTGGATATGTTTGTGGGTGTGATGTCAGTGTCTACAAGAATCTAGCCCTGAAACAGGAAACCATGCATGTATCTAATGTAACGATGAACGTTGACATTTTATCAGAGCTAAAAATAAAAATAAATGTATACTATAATTTAAGAAAAATAATCTTGTGAACATACAGAATCTGCTTGGTGTTGATTCAAATTTCACCAGCGACTATAAATTATCTATAATCATAGCAGTGTTGAAAGAAGAGGTATACCATAATTATCTTGGTTAAAATTGTGATCTTTCTTGTGCACTACTGTTCACATTATTGTATAGTTTGAATCAAGATTTAATGGTGAGCGTGCATGTTTTTGATTTTCTCTCCAATTGTCTGGAGGCACTTTAATGAAATATTAAGAGCAAAATGCTTGGAATAATTAATCATGTTTGGATATATGAATTTTTGTTTTGCTAAGGTCCGCAAAATACTTGACAGACACTGGGTTGTCGTTTTATGTGGAGTTAGTTTTGTCTGCAGGGATAATAAAGCCACGTGTAAGCCGAGCATTTACATTTTTACATCATATATTATATCAATTATACATCTGATAACACAGACCTCTGGACATGCAGAACTTCAACTAATAAAACATTTTGATGATACAGATCACAATCTTTATCACTCAACATCTTGATATCATTCATAAATAGTCCTATCAATTGGCAGGGTATTAGAGATGGGATAATGACTGTTTACCTAACTAATTATGCCAGCATAGTTTATTTAAACAATAACCAATTAGCTATGATAAACACATGCGGGCAATGTAGATCATTTATCATAAAACACATGTAGTCATATACTTAGGTTTTTGTATACATATAAAGGTAGTTTCTAGATCGGCAGATAGAGTTTCTATTATCTCTTATAAATACGCCAATAAACCGCGTCCCTGCTTTGTATGGATACACATGTATGGGGTAGCTAGAACTGTTGTGGAATTAAGATATTATCTTTATGATAGCCTGCAATTTTTATTATTAATATTGATATCATATATATGAGGAGTGCAAAACATGGTATTGATATGTGTGTGTTTGAGAGCAGCTTATCGCAGCGGCAATCTGCAACTATCTAGGTATTGTAAGGTCGTATAAACATAAACAATGCCCCTTAAATACAAATAGTACACCCCACAGAGTCTGGTAGAACTGTCTGACAATCAGATGTCCTTTTAGTATCAGATATACAACAATATTTGATGTACGACATATATATGTATATTGCGATGAGATAGTACTAGTACCTCTGGTAATATGACCTGCTTTAAAATTGATCTTCTTTCATTCAAAAATATATTGGGATTTTCAGAAGTACAATTCACACCTGGAAAAACATATGTGAAATTGTAACCTGATTAAATTACAAAATAAAACTTATTTTATGGATGTATCTGATTCTGTTTTGACTGGATACATTTTCTGCAAAAAGTATAAATCCTTACCACAAAATTTACGAATTTTCAGTAATTTATACTGTACGTACTGTCTTAAAATTCGAACCAATCAACTACAGTTAAATATTAATGTCACTCATTTCATTTGCCACATTGATTACCAGTATAATATTTCAATGTCCTCTTTTCCGGAAAATTTCTCGCTACAACACGTTTGATATATTGCCAAACCTCTTTAAGTTGTCAGGAGAAACAGAGATGGTAAAACAAGGGTTTAATGACTCTTTGTGAGCCTACTGCAAATGTGGACATTCCGGTGGTCAGTTTATTTTCAGTGATTTCGTCTGGTTGATCGGGATTCGGATACTACAAAAATATATGAATGTGATTTAGTTCATAACAATATTCAGTCTGATAGTAATATTTGTCTCTTATTCGATGATGATCGATTGATGAAAGTTTTTAATCTGTTGTCTTTAAAAGCAATCGGATGAATCAAATCAAAATAATATGGCTTACCTGGAAAATTGACACTCAATAGTGCATTTTCAAAAAATATAAATCTTGATTTGTGTTTACTAATATATAAAATCAATTGTAAAAGGATGATTTAAATTTCTTTATAAACGGCACAACCGCTCTCATTCGCATGAATAAATTATTTAGTTGACTGATACTGTTTTGAAGGCTGCTGATTTCTGGAGTATGAAGTAAACAGACCACCAGTGATGTTTTAGAACAGACCCTCTCTCCGTTGTTGTTGTTTCAATTTAGTTGGAATGTCGGTAGATTCCTTACAAATCCATCAAATTACTGCTTTCCTTTAAGATTTTTTGTTTTTCAAAGTGTGATGTTGACGTTTCATCATAGCTATATTAATGATATATACTGTATTATAATCTAGTAATAACATCACATTATCTCTGCATTTGAAAATAAGTGTCTCAAGGTTTTTTTGGCTCCCATGAAAAATCACTTTATGATATTTTTGGTAATATTCAGGAAATGGTGTATTTTGTTAATAATTTTATATTTATGTGTTTTTTCATGTGAGTGTTAAAACTTGCGTGAAAAGAAGGGATGCACGGTTGGTGAGTAAACAAGTTAGCACATCCTGCCATTACGATCTGTTTTCTTGTTTGTGTTTGCTGGAAACATTCTGGAGGTATTTACGATGTTATCGCTATCGTTTATCTGACATGGTACAAGTCAACTTTAAAGAAAATTGGGCTAGAAGTGACATTATGTACTGCGAGTGATACAACTCGCCATTAAGTTATATCTATGTTAAAACCTTGTTTGTCTGCCGAGAACCTCTCAAGCACATCAGATCAAATTCTCTGGTCTTAGATTTCTACTGTACCTGTTCTCTCACCTGAGAAGAAAGGCCTGCTTCACAAAAAGCACCATAGGTAATGTTTATCTCTTGATCAACACAAAAACTTTGCAAGCATCATAAAATTACATCTTGTAAATGCATGGGTTGTAATTCAGCGCGAGGACATATGTAGCTTTATTTTCTTTTTGAAGAAAATATGACTTTGATATGAATACCTGTATGTGCTCAAATAATCTGTAAGCTTATATATTTGTAGAGAAAATTTACCTAAATTGAAAATTTGATATTGAATAATGCTGTTTCAATCTACTTAGAAAAAATGGCTATTTACACTAAACGTCATTTCAAAGTTCTCGGTACAAGTACTAGACGGATTCTTGTTTTAAGAGCTGAAGCTTGTGGTAGCAGTGAACAGGCCTGCTCAGAGTGGTTACTGTAAATCACTCGATTCTTGTGAATACATATTTATGTGGTTGAGCACTAAATTGATATGGGATTTGAATTAGCCAAAAAGTGATGTCAAGAAAAATTATATTTTCGGTGTTTAATGTTCCTTAATATAAATGTTTGCGATTGACTTTCTTTGCAAATT